CTTCCGTTTCTTCTATGCAATGAATACACAAATACACCCACACACAGTCCTCTTGTGCCTTTGGACACGTGAGGAAAAAACGTTTGCCGAGGCAATTTATTTATCTTTTTTTGTTTTTGTTTCCGCCAGTAATTTTCCTGAGCCTCCACTTTAATTTTTTCTTTTTTTTCTTTGGTAAATCACTGCGGATTACTTTTAGTTTGCGCCGTGTTCACCGCTGTCGTTGCGTGTCTCCGTGTTGTGTTTGCTGCCGCTGCTGGCTGTGCCGCTGACATGCCTTCATTCTTCCTCTTCTTCTTCTTCCATCTAGAGGCACCGGTAGTTCACGAGGAGGATTCTTCAGGTTTTCCGCAGCGATGGCACGGGAGTGACGGGGTGTCCGCCCGCCGCTTTGAAGGCGCATGCTGCGGAGGGAGAGAATGTGCGGGGTGTGCGGCGTGTCTTGCTGCGAGTGTGTGGGGCACCACCCATCGCAGCCTGCAGTGCGGCGTGGTGCGGATCGGTGAGGGCAAATATGCGGCAGCGGCAGACTGTGCGGTGGACGTGGATCTGCCCCGTCCTTCGCGTTGCGGGTGTGTGGGTGCGCTGTGCGGCTGGCTTCTCCTCCGCGTGTCTCTCTTCCTCGCACGATGGGGGTGCAGTGGTTCGCCTTTGCGGTGTGACGTCTGCCGCGGTGTGTGTTTTGGGGTGCGACTCCGAGTTATTCGTCTGTCGTCGTCACGGGGGCGCAGAGGCGGCGTGGCCATCGGTGCCGTGGCGTTTCGTTTTTGTGCGGCTCACGCGACGTGTTGGAGCCGCTGCTTTCGAGTGGGCGTGTGCCTGGTGCAGCTGGCCGCCGTGTGAGAAGCGTGGGGAAGTGCGGCCCGTTTCGCGCCCAACGGATGCAGGTGACGGCGTCGCAGCAGCCGCGGTGGAGGGGCTGACGGGGAGTTTCCGCCGTCGGGGGCCGCTCGGTGTGTGTTGCCGCGTGGCAGCCAAACCGGCCGTGGTGGTTTCTGCTGCTTGCTACAGTGGTTGTGCTTTCGGTTTTTCCTCCTCTTCTCTGCTTGTGTGTCTCAGTGCGCCCGAGCTGCGGCGGGGAGCACTGCGGGGTTAGTGATGATGACGGTGTGTGGACCCAACTGTGGGTGCGGGCGGTGCACATTGCTTCATTCTTGTCTATTTGCCCTGTTTGCTCCTCCTCACTTTTATTGTTCACACACACACGCGGAAGGAAAGAGACCAAACGCTACTTGCTACTGTGCACTTTGAAAGGCCCTGCAGTCACCACCAGCACCACACACACACACGCAACTGTTGCGGCCTGAGCGGATCCACCGCAAAGAGGGAAGAGAGTGTGAGAGAGCAGCGACACATGCCCAAGATGTCCTGGCATTTGTTTTCTTATTCAGTGCTTCTACTGCTGTTTGTGCTATTGACATGCTGTGGCAGTGAAGCTGCGGGGAGTATCCCAGGGACGGCCATTAATTTATTTGAAGAGACGACACCGATAACTGGTGACAAATGGGAGGAAATGCAATGCGTCGAAGGGTCATTTCGCTCGCTTCGTGTCCCCAGCCTTGTGGAGGTGGACGGTGCTGTGTTTGCCGTTGCTGAGGCCCATTGCAAGAATGGAAGCGGCAGCTTCACTGGCATCGTGTCACAGCACCTGAAGGGAATTGGAACAGAACCGAGTGAGATTCCGATGGGTGCAGGCACAGGTTCCTTTCACACGCAGCTGTTGAAGGAAGGTGGTAACGAAATGAGGGACACTGTGCGACCAACGACAATTGTGAATGACAACAATGTCTATATGCTGCTGGGAAGCTGCAGCCGTGCAACATTGGAGAGCAAAGAGGCTGATCGAAGTGAATGTAAGATTATGCTGGTGAAGGGGAGTGTCACTGAGGGTGGAGAGAAGAAAGTCCAGTGGGGTGAGCCGCATGCGGTGGAAATTCAGCTCGGAAAGCTTGCTACACCCGGGACTTATGTCTCTGCTGTCGGAGGGTCGGGCAGTGTGATGAGTGACGGCACACTTGTGTTTCCCATGCAGGCCACAGATAATGGAAATACCTTTTTGCTGTCCGCGCACTTCACCCCGTCAGAGAATGAATGGGAGCCTGTAGTCGATATGGTAGGTGAGGGTTGCAGCGATCCATCGATTGTGGAGTGGGACGATGTTTATGAACTACGCATCTTTATGATAACTCCCTGCAAGCGTCGTTCCTATTACATGTACAAGACTTCATCTTTCTACTATTGGTCGGGCGGTGAGCCAATTTCCCGCGTGTGGGGCATCTCAGGCGATAGAAAAAGGGAGGGCGTGCGAAGTGGCTTCATCACCGCAGATATCGATGGAAAGAAGGTGATGCTGCTTACCATGCCGGTGTATTCTGAGGAGAAGGGAGAGGGTCGGCTGCATCTTTGGGTGACAGACAATGCCCGTATGCACGACGTTGGGCCGGTGTCTCGCGAAGGTGATGACGCCGCCGCCAGCTCCCTGCTGTACAGAGCCGACAAGAAGGAGTTGATTTTACTGTACGAGAAGAAGAGCGGAGATTCATACAGTCTTGTCGCCGTGAGCCTGACTGAGCAGCTGGAGCGGATAAAGAGCGTGGTGAAGGCCTGGAAAGATATGGGCACCGCACTCAAAAACTGCGCTTCCACTGGCACTGTTGACCCGCGGATAAAGAATGTTTGTAAAAGTGCTGTTCCCACCAAAGGGCTGGCTGGCTTTTGGTCCAACAGTTTGGAAGGGAATTTATGGAAGGACGAATACCTCAGAGTGAACGCAACGGTGCATGGTGGGAATGTGGCAGGCACGGAGGGGGGCGTGAGGTTCCGAGGCGCAGCAGCGGGGGCGGAGTGGCCGGTGGGCAACAAGGGGCAATTCCAGCCGTACCACTTTGTGAACAATGACTTCACTCTTGTGGCGACGGTGATGATTAATGTGGTGCCGGAGACAGAGGGTCCTGTTCCTTTGATGGGTGTGAGGATGAATGACGATGCCAGCACTGTGCTTGTTGGTCTGTTCTACACGAAGGACAAGAAGTGGGGAGTGATTGTCAACGGAAACTCTCGGGGGTTGTCAGATGAAGATGGTACGTGGCAGCCTGGCACAACGTATCAAGTGGTACTGAAAAAGCTTAGGGAATCGTTGTATGTGTACGTTGACAATAATGAGCTTATTCAGGAGGATGTTGCACCCTTTGAGTACACCCCACGCGGTGTCTTGGACTTCTACGTTGGCGGCGACAGTGCGAAGGGGACAGGCGAGGTTGACGTGACGGTGGGCAATGTCCTGCTGTACAACGAGGCACTGGGTGATAATAGGCTCACGAGCCTCAGTGTCAGCAAAGTCTCACTTCCAACACCGGCTGCTGAGGGGCCACTCACAACGCTGGGGAATGAT